ATGCGAAATTATACATTCTATATTCATATTTGTGTTTGATAGAAATATTTAGATACAGCAAGTTGTAAAGAATCGCCGACTTGTTTCGCAAGTTATAACAGATTAAAGTATTGAAAATTGTAACCCTTTGTGGATGAGGAAACAGAAGGGGTTCGTAGATATATATCATCTTGGGAATCTGAACCGGTATCAATATAAATTGAAATAATTTCTTTTTAGACAAAATTCCATCACACATTCTAAATTTCATTTGAATTGGAGATACATAGCGTGTTTAATGTATCAAATTCGCATATTTATCGGTCGCATATATATATGGTAGCTTTACCGAAACTTTAACCGATTTCAATATTATTTGACGCATTTATTTTTACGTTAATTTCGGCCTCACACTCCAAAAATCATTGAAATTGGAAATACATTTCGTGTTTGGAACATCAAAAATGTCGAATCGACCGAAAGTATATATCGAAGTTATATCCAACTCTGAACCGATATCAATAATAATTGTCAAATTTATTGTGGTACAAATTCCGTTACTCAATCCGAATTACGTTGGGATCGGAGATTCATATCGTGTTTGGTGCATTAAATACACGAAATCGGCCAAAAATATGTATGGAAGCTATATCCAAATCTGAACCGACTTCAATATAATTTGGCAAATATATTGTGGTACCAAATACCGTTACTCAATCCGAATTTCATTGAAATTGGAAATATATATGCTGGTTGGGGGAATCAAATATACCAAATCGGCAGAAAATATATATTGAAGCTATATATATCCCAACCGATTATAATATAATTTGTCATATTCATCTTTGTACAAAATTCCGAATTTTATTGGAATCGGACTTACCTATCCTGTTTGAAGCATAAAATATGTGAAATCAGCTGAAATGTATCTGGGAGCTATATCCAAATATGAACTGATTACAATATAATTTGTCTACATTTATTTTATTGGGTACAATTCAATTATACCTTTCAAATTTATAGACTATAGCTGTAATCGACCAATAGATATGTGCATACCAATCAAATTTTTTTGGAGCTACCTCAAATTCTGATGCTATATCTTCTGTTCCAAGTAGAATTTCAATCTATATACCGTATGTTACTTTCAGGCGATGTTATAGTATATTTCGAAATTTTCAAAAAATTTGTTCAGCGGCAGATTACGTACTTCAAACCCCACCTCATTATCTAAAAGCCACACACTCACAGTTATATCTAAATCCATAATTACTGTCCTATACCTACCCACGCATTTGGTTTTGATTTCCCCTTTTCATGGCCCATGAATACTTTTATAGATCTCTTCACCTGTCAAAATCAGTTAACATCGTTTTTTTTTTCGGAAATACACATTATTTTTATTGTACCTTCCATTTAATAACAACATGTAACAACAATTAGAGAATGATATTAACGTGCGCTTTAATGTCTCTTTGTGGGTGGCAAGTAAGCAGAAGAACCACCGCCTTGTTGAAGGCCATCCAAGATGCCAATAACAGATTTAACGGCAGAAATGCCTTCATCCGAGAAACTGGTGGTACCACCCAGACGATCGTATTCAGCTTGGATATGATGTTGGGCGTGTTCGGCCTCTTCATTGGTGCGATATTTGATGAATGCAACTTCGGGCTTGCTAGTTGTTGTAACTGGTTCTTGAACAAATGTTTCAACAATGGGAGCATCAGCTTTCTTCGACAAAACATAGACGGCGGTCTTCTCTTCATTAACGGCTGGGGTGACACGAACCTTGATCTTCTGTTGTTTTTCGGCAGGAGCTTTAACGAAAACTACATTGTAGTTCTTGCGTGGTGTACCAACTGCAATGTCATGTTCCTGAACTTCTACACCCTCCTCCTGGGGTGCTGAGTGCAGATAGAAATGTTTTGAAACCAATGGCTGTGCTCCATAGACACCATTAGTAGCAGTATTGTTTTGACTAGGATAATCGTATCCTTGATGAGAAGCAGAGCAAAATGCAACCAAACACAATACCTATTGAAATACAAAGATCGTGTTATCGCAAGTTATATATATGTTTTATAGAAAATTCACTATATTTACTAGAAATCCACGCATGTTTTTAAATAATTAAATTGAAAAAAAATATTAGGTAATACTGCTATATGTTCTGTGAACACCTCGAATTAGAATTTGTTTCAAACCCTTCGAGATTGCTGTATTTATAAGGGCTTTAGTTGAACATAATTTGGACCGTCATTAAAAAAACGAACTGGTTAAAAAACCATTAGCTACAGAGGTGTTGCTTCTTGAAATATGCTTGTGCGTTATAGTTTCATTTTTATACCCTCCGCCTGAAAATGAAATCTATTGAGTTTTGTCATTCCGTTTGTAACAGCTCAACATCTTTCTCGTATATCTTATGAAGTAATGTAATGAAGAATAATAAGTCGATTTTGGAATGCGTTTAGCGATAGCCCAAAAATATCAGCCGATTGGTATTTATTGTGACCAGTATACAAAAAAAAAAAAAGCGGTCCGATAAAGATACTTTTCTGTCATATCTATTGTATACTTCGAACATGAACGCTCAAACTATTCCGTTATCAGAATACCGACTATTGGGAGGTACGTGGACCGATATGGTCCATTTACCTACTGACAAAATATACACATGTTCAAACTTAACTTAGGAGATATAAAGGGAATATGCCCTAAAATACCGAAACACAGACTATTGAAAGGTACAGGGATATGGGGGCCATACGAAGTCGTGCCTTTGTACAGGAATTTTTTCTCATGAGAGGAAGTACCTAATGGGGTCTATACCAAAACTCAGGCCTATATGTACAGTTCTCTGCAGGACCTTTCCTATACAGGGTGCGATGAAAAAACTGCAACCAACTTCAGACTGCTGTCATTTTTAAGCCAATCGTCCGACAGCTGCTAACATTATTACAATAACAGCTCATTGTATTGTTTACAAGCGTACAAAAGCATTTTGGTGAGAATTTTTCAGAAAAAAAGTTATCCGTGACGGAATTCAACCGTGATTGTTGGATTCCTTTATTTTTGGCTGGAAACCACAAGTGAATATCGTTAAAGCACTCCAGCATTTAAATATGAATAAATCTTTTGTGTCTCGTACCATCGCTCGTTATCGTGATACAGGTAGTGTAGCCCGACTTCGACGAAGTGGACGGAAGAAAACAGCAACATTGGCAGAAATAGTTCGAAAAGTTCACAGTGGACGAAATATGGCTCGTGACTGAACATATCGCAATATTCCATTCGGCAAATGAGCCATTGAAATTCCAAAAAGTGCAAGAACTTACACCGCAACAGAAAGAAAATAGACTCAAAAGAGCTAAAGAGTTGCTCCGCTTGGCCGAAAGTGGTGAACTACCGAATTTGGTTTTCTCCGATGGGAAAACATTCGTTGTCCAGCAGTTTGTAAACATACAAAATGATCGTGTGTATTTGCCAAAGAGGTCAGCTGAAAATGTGCACCTTCGGTTGGCCACCAGAAATCAAGCGCCGGTCATGGTTATGGTGTGGGCTGCCATAGCAGCCGATGGTCGCTCTCCGTTCGTATTTATCGACCTTGGCATCAGAATAAATGCCGAATATTATCACGAAAATATTCTGAAGGGTGTATTAAAACCTTGGGCACTCAAACATTTTGGCCGCAGAACTTGGACATTCCAACAGGACTCACCGCCATCGCACTCAGCACGCGCCAACCAAGAATGGTTACAAAATGAGGTTTCTCGCTTCATTTCCAGTGCACTATGACCACCAAAATCTCCGGATACCAATTCGTTGGAATATTGAGTCTGGAGTATTTTGAAAAGCAAGGCTGGTACTTAAAAATACCAAAGTGTGCTTGAGGTGGCAAGCGCTTCGCCGGGAATGGGGCAAAATACGGCAGAGCAACATTCGGGCAGCGTGTGACGGTTTCAGTGGCCGTTTAAAGCAAAAATTCATGGCAAAGGTGACCAATTTGAACAAATCTAAACTTATGCTAAAATTTTAAGCTATTTCCGCCTTTTTTGCATCATTCAATAAAAATTAAAAAAAAAATGTAAAAATTTTGGAGTTTGACGTTTTTGCAGTTTTTATTAACTTTGTCATTCTGATTGTAACTCCTCGAAATACTCATGTCAGACCCAACAAAGTATATATAATTTCTTGATCAGCATAAAATTCTAAGTCGATTTAGCGACGTGTGTCTGTCTATCTGTCTGCTGTAATCACGCTATCTAGCCAAAGACAGAAAATTGTCTGTACAGGTCCACGTCTTCATATAGCACTACCTCCCAATATTCGGTATTTTAACGATTTTAGTGTCACTTTTTTCAAATTACGTATTTAGAGTTAGTAATGGGAACTGTGACAGAAAATTGTCTATGCAGGTCCAGGTCTTCGTATCGCTCCGATGTAACGCTACCTCCCTATATACGGCATTTTCATGATTTTAGCTACATTATTCACCGTTTATTTCAAGTTTCGAATTTAAATATTGTAATGGCTTATGACAAACAAAGCCTATGTAGGTCCACGTCATATAGACCCCAATATAACAGCTATATTCAGTGTTTTTAAAATTTTAACAAAATTTTTAACGGTTTTTTTTTTTTTTTGAAAATTGCCAAATTCGATACAAATGGTGGAGGGTATTCAAATTTCGGCCCGGTCGATCTTACTGCTTTTTAACTTGTTTTATCTCACCCTGTACAGGATTAGATCTAGCCAACGCCGAGTCGTTTGGACCATAACTTGCGGCCTGTAAAATTATTACAATTAAGATGGAATGAACGGGCACACATATCTGGATGGATTAATATTAATGATGATAGGCCTATTACATTGTGGGTCTAGGATCACTGTTTCGGAATGTAATAAACTTCATAGACCAATCAAATTCCAAAGAGCGTGGCTGGGTAAAAAACTAAAAATTTTGAAATTCTATAGCAGAAATAATAACAATTTTTAATATTTAAAACAAACTTAGTAATTATAGGATGGACATAACAAATGATTTATGAGGGTCATTTCTTGGTACCGACTAATTAGCAACATTGTGTTGAAACGGTCATTTTGCTAATGTGTTATTTGAGCTAATATAAATACAATAGTTTCTGAATCAACAAAACATATTGCAATTCAAAGCGTCCAAAGAACTAATATTCACTTAAACAACTAAAACCTTTCAACTTATCTAAACATGCGTGGATTTCTGGTAAATATTCTAAAAATGTATTTGTCAAAAAAATAGTACAAATTATAACGATTTTTCTAATGAAATAGGTTTTGTGTTTGGTAGCATTGTGTTCTGCCTCTCATCAAGGATACGATTATCCTAGTCAAAACAATGCCGCTACCAATGCCGCCTATGGAGCACAACCGTTGGTTTCAAAACATTTCTATCTTCATTCAGCACCCCAGGAGGAGGGTGTAGAAGTGCAAGAACATGACATTGCAGTTGGTACACCGCGCAAAAACTACAATGTAGTTTTCGTTAAGGCTCCTGCCGAAAAACAACAGAAGATCAAGGTCCGTGTCACCCCAGCTGTCAATGAAGAGAAGACCGCCGTCTATGTTTTGTCGAAGAAAGCTGATGCTCCCATTGTTGAAACATTTGTTCAAGAACCAGTTACAACAACTAGCAAGCCCGAAGTTGCATTCATCAAATATCGCACCAATGAAGAAGCCGAACACGCCCAACATCATATCCAAGCTGAATATGATCGTCTGGGTGGTACCACCAGTTTCTCGGATGAAGGCATTTCTGCCGTTAAATCTGTTATTGGCATTTTGGATGGTCTTCAACAAGGCGGTGGCTCTTCTGCTTACTTGCCACCCACAAAGAGGCATTAAGGTTACAGACTTTTTTGGTTTGTGACTATATGTTGTTATTTTGTTAAAAAAATAAAATCTGATTGTTTTAAATGTTATATATTTGAGATATTCAATTTTTACAGAATTTTAAGAAATGTAATTTATATAGTTTGTGGCTCAGAAAGACCAAATTTATGCTCGTATGTAAATAGTTACAGCGCACTAACTGGTTTTTAATAGAGCCTGAGAGAAAATATATAAACGAATTGAAGCAGAGGTTTTTATCCACAGTTGGTTTGCTTCAATAATCGGAAGGAATAACGAATATACCAAAATTGTTGAAATATTGGGAGGTCAAAGTGGGTTTATGCAGCTGGACCAATCTTATAAAATGTACTTAGGTGTACTACATTTGGTACCATTTCGTATCATGTAAACGATTAGAGCTAAAAACTTGAAACTTCGAATGGGAATCAAGATTGAGGAGTAGGGTTGATGTAAGGAATTAGTTTTGCAATTGTGTACTCATGTGTACGAAAAGTAATAAATAATGGCTGGAATCCTGAAATTTGGTAATTAACATTAATTTCGGAGAGTAGTATTGGGATATGGAGGTAGTTTTCAAAACATGTATCTATGCGCACGAAAAGTACTAAATGGTACTAAATTTGGTACAATTTAAATTTGGGCGAACCGAAATTTGGTAATTAGATTTCTTATTTGCACTAAATGGTAATACGTTTGGAACAATTTGGATTTTGATGAACTGATAGAGATGGAATCCTGAAATTTAGAAATAAGATTACTGTTGAAGTTTAGGATGTGATTAATTATGAAGTTTCAAAATTTTGTACTTATGTGTACTAAATGGTTCTAAATTTGATACAATTAAGAATGTTGCGAACCATTAAAGTTGGAGTTCTGAAAATTAACAGGTAAAAAATATTAAGTTCGGCAGCCTAAACTTTTAATACCCTCCACCTTAGGGTAAATGAATCATTTTTATATAAAAGTATCTGGATTAAATCGTGCTCCGCTTAAAACTAAAAATACCAGTAAGACCTTTTGCATAACGCAGTTAAACTTATCAAAAAACTATAAAGCGGGTAAGGCCGTTATATGGGGCCATACCAAAACGGGAACCTCTACCCTTTATACTTCTAGGATTGTCATCTATCAAATCTGCTAAAATACCAAAATTGAAACAATTTTATGTGTAAAGGTGACTAGGTTTATCAAAATACCGAATATCGGTGGGCATCGGTTTATGTGCGCTATAGGAAAATATGGACCTAAATATTCAATGTTTCGCCACTGGAGCTAGAACCCGCAATGACCCACAAATACCAATTTTTACACAAATCCGTGAAAAATGTGGCAAAAATCATCAAAATACCGAATATCGGGAGGTACCGTTATATGGGGCTATACAGAATATATAACCTATTATGATCCATTTAGACAAATCCGTGAATAAAATGTGACAAAAATCAACAAAATACCGGACATTGAGGGGTACCGTTATATGGGAGCTATACCAAAATTTGCGCCTATACAAGGAATGTTTTGCCACAAGCAATGTTTTTCTACCCAGGAAAATGTGACAAAAATTATCAAAATACCGAATATCGGGAGGTGCCGTTTGTGGGGACTATACCAAAACGTGGTTCGATATGTCTCATTTTCAAAACCAACCTTCCTAGATACAATACAAATTGTCCTCATAAATTTTGACGCTCTACGTCAAATAATGTGGGCGGTATCGTAATTTCAACATACAGGCAGACAGACAGACATCGACTTAGAATTTTATGCTGATTATGAATATATATACTTTATGGGGTCTACGACGAATATTTAGGGATGTTACAAATGGATGAAAAAGTTAATATACTCTCCTTTCCAAGGTGAAGGGTATAAAAATTATTCTGGATTATATTATGTAGGTAGTTATGAGAATTTGTACTTATGGGTATTAAATCGTGCTAAATGTGATACAATTTGTATTTAGGCTAACCAACAGAACTTGTATCTTGGAATTTGTAATTACAGTCGGAGTGTATGATTGGGATATAGGATAGTTTTTGAAATTTTTACTTATATGTACTAAAATACAGGAAAGAGAACTATGCATTTTTATATTAAGATCACTGCGAAATATATGCCATGTCGTCATTTTTCAGTGGAGTCAGTTCTTCTAGCAGATAATGGTCTATGGCTCACGTTTTCGTATAGCCGCCCTACAGCGGGTTATTCCGATATTCGATATCTTAATGATTTCAGTCAGAGCATTTAATGGAATAGTGTGCAATTGGATAAGTTAAGTTTTATATAGGATAGGATAGGTAAATGTTTGGATAGGTATCCAAAACTTTTTTAATTTCGCCACATTTCGTAGTAAATAGGAAAAATGTTAAACAATTAGAATATTACGTTTCGTTAATTAATATCACTGCATAAAGTTATGACGAATTATAGATTTAAAATAAAACTTAATTACTTTTAAAAATAACATAAAAGTGTTTTATAAGATTTATTTGACAATATAACAGCAACTGTTTGCAAATAGTTTAATTAAAAAAAATCTACATAACAATAACACAACAAACTCAATGTTTTTTAACTGGTGGTAAATATGCTCCAGAATTAAAACCTTGCTGCAGAGCATCCAAAATGCCAATAACCGATTTAACTGCTGAAATGCCTTCGTCCGAAAAACTGGTGGTTCCACCCAAACGATCGTATTCAGCCTGAATATGGTGTTGAGCATGTTCGGCTTCTTCGTTGGTGCGATATTTGATGAAAGCAATTTCGGGTTTGCTTGTGGTAGTGACAGGTTCTTGAACGAACGTTTCAACAACAGGTGCATCCGCCTTCTTCGACAAAACATATACGGCAGTCTTCTCTTCGTTAACAGCTGGGTTGACACGGACCTTAATCTTTTGTTGTTTTTCAGCAGGAGCTTTTACGAAGAGAACATTGTAGTTTTTACTTGGGGTACCCACAGCAATATCATGTTCTTGAACCTCCACACCTTCCTCTTGAGGTGCTGAATGAATAAAGAAACGTTTTGAAATCAAAGGCTGTGATCCGTATGCAGCATTTGTCTGACTGGAATAATCATATCCCTGATGGGAAGCTGAACACAAAGCAGCAAAACACAAGACCTATTGAAAATGAGCAGTAAAAATATTGCCATCGATGTTGCACAACACTTCTTAAATTTCCAATATTTACCAAAAATCCACGCATGATTTTACTTGACTAAAAATGTTGTTCTATGAAAGGATCGAATTTGAATATGTCTCATTCTGTTAGTCTTCTGTTTTTATAGTAGCTTCATATATTAATTGAGTTATCATTTAAACAGTCAACCTATCATTAACCACAACGACCCTCGCATACTTTACTGTGGAATTAGCAAAACCTAATTGTTGTATGCTTTCAAAAACCATAACTATTCGTTTACTTTTTCTTATTATACCATTGCAACCAAGTGTCAGAAAAGTCGTTTGCATTAGTTTTCAAAAAGATAAAATTATAATAACAATTGTAGCTAGAACGTCGTTTTAACGGATTCTTAAAATGTTTATACCTTCCACTATAATATGATTTGTTTATTATACCCTCCACCATACATAGTATGGAAGGTGTATTAAGTTCAGAATAAAGTTTTTATATTGAGGGTCCCAGATCTGACATGCGGGCGGCATGTCTCTCTCTCTCTCTCTCTGCTATAATCACTATAGAGGTCACTCCACTTTGGAGCAGGCATTAGTCTTGTAGTTAGGGTATTTGGTATTGATAATGGAATATATCTGTTTACGTTAAGGTACAGCCCCCCATATAATTGTGGGGATTATGACCCTTATTTTTTCGGTCATAACCCCCATAATGGAATTGGGATTATGTCCAAGTAAATATTATTCATAATCCAAAGAAAGTAGCGCATGTCCAAACCGAATGCGGACATAAATTGGTGATATTCGGATCAGATTTAAATAGAGCTCTCATATATCTTCAACGATTTCGTGTTAATTGCTCACCAAATGGCCAATATAAGTCCAAATAGCCTTAATTTTGGCATATCCGACCGAATTCAGTGTAGAAGCAAGTACATCAAATTTGGTTCATCGGTTCAGATATAGCTATTGTTCCCATATATATGTTTCATCCGATTTGGTGTTTAAGTCCCTCACATTCATAATATGCATTCGACAACAATGATATTTGGTACCAGACAATTGATTCAGCCCAGAAAAACCTCTGCTAAATTTTATCGAGATCGATTCAGATTTGGATATAGCTCCCATATATATGTCCAACCGATTTCGGGTTAATTGTGCACCAAATGGCTAATGTATGTCCAATAACCTGAATTGTTGCACGACCTATCGAATTCAGTTCCGATGTAAGTACATCAAATTTGGTTAAATATATATGTTTCATCCTATTTGGGATCTTAAGTCCCTCACATTCGTAATATGCACTCCACAACAATGATATTTGGTACCAGATATCAGATACATCCCAGAAATACCTCTGCCAAATTTTATCAAGATCTGTTCAGATTTGGATATAGCCCTCATATTTAATAATATTTCAGGTTTATTATGCACTAAATGGCGAATATCAGCCCAAATGGAGTGAATTGTGACATTTCCGACCGAATTCAGCCTATAAGCATGTACTTCAATTTTGAAAATCGGCTATAACTCCCATATATATGTTTCATCCTTATTCGACAGCAATGATATTTGTTACCCGATATCTTATAGAGTTCGGAAATACCTCTGCCACATTTTATCAAGACCAGTTTAAATTAAAATTTTGCTCCCGTATATATCTTCAACCGATTTCGGGTCAATTGCGCACCAACAATACAACAATGATATTTTATGAGGGACCTTAGATACATCTCGAAAATAATTACGCCAAATTTTATGGAGATCGGTTCAGATTTTTATATGCCTTCGAGTCATATCATGCAATATTGTTTGGATCATAGTTGGTATGATCGACTTCACATAAATTCCTAATATAAACTTTTTGGTTACGGAGGCTCCACTAAATACACATAGTTG